CCGGCCCTTCACTGACCCCAGCTCTGTCCTCGCTGCAGCTGCACCTGCAGCTCCAGGGAGTTAACTCAGCTTCTGGAGAACTGAGAACTATAGAAAGGAAAGCCACGCACGTACATCCCTTCACAGACAGCGTATGCTAGTTTCTTGTAGATATTCACAGCTCATTTTAGAGCTCTGTACATAATGTCGTGGGTCTTGGTTTCCTCGTTTTGTTTGGTTTTGTATCTTGTTGGATGCACCTAGATATGGAAAATGGAAGCCAAATTTATCTTTAAAGACTGTATTTTCAAAATAAAACCTTTTCTTGTTTGTTTCAACACTCCTGCAAAGACTCTTGCTGTTTAACTCCTGTTTTTCCTCTGTATCCTGGAAGAGTGGGCTGCCTCCGAAACAGTCGGTACTCAAGGGTGTACTTTATCCCCAGGCTTTGAGAATAGGACTCGCAGTCCTCCTACTGGAACAGCGGCTCTTCCCGTTTCCTACTGTGGCAGTTTGGAGCTGGACAACTGTGTCGTCTTTCTGTGTCTCAAAGATATTAAACACGGACTCCCCTAAGGTTTTATTTCCTTCTGTTTATTCTAATTCCTCGTGTATTACCCCTTCGGATAAAAGCAACGTAATAATTGTGAATGACTTGCAAGTCCGATGACTGACCTACTTAAAAGCACAAGGTGGGAAGAGTCTTGAGGAAGAGCAGGGGAGCGCCTCCCCATTTCACTTTTTTTTTGAAGTCCTTGACCTGTCGTCAAAGTTTATGATGGGCAGCTTCTCTTGCCATTAGACTTTGAACACTCTGATTTAGCACGATAGGCAGACTTTACCCTGCCCTTAGGGGAGAGGTTGAGGATCTCCTCCAGGACAGCCTTCAGAAGCTGGAGGACACGGGGAGAGAAGAGAAGCTGCTTAGCTGTGTTTGCACAAAACGCTTCTCTCCAAGGGTGGAGAGCCTTTCTTCCAGAAGTTTCGGGTTTCTCGGCAAAGCAAACTGAGTTAGGTTGCTGTCACTGGTTGGCCTTTTGTCCCTGGGATGGTGCCAGAAGTACAGGTGACTGTGTATAGAACTCACGGCAAATCTGTAATCACCTTCTTGAGGCATTTCAACTTTTCCCTAATGGTTTCTGGGGAATATGACACTAGTGTAATGACAACCCAGTGTAGGATTTGGGTGGAGGGCTTTGGATGCAGGTAAACAGCAGGTCTATGCAGAGACTGGAAGGGAAATCATTGAACTTAAAGTGGGAACATCAGAGGAACCTGTAACCCAGCGGCCCAGTAGAGTCTCACAAACTTTCAATACTAAACAACGGGGCGAATTAGATAGTCTCAGAGTTTTTTCATTTGTATATTTGTGTGGAGATGACATGGTTTGTGTTCAGGGTGATACTAGACAACGCATCCCACGTTTGTACCTTACAATCCTCCAGAAGGGTAGGTAGAGATTTGAGGACTGGATTCAAAATTTCTTACCAGCGCCTTGTTCAATTCGACTGACAAGGACTTTGCAAAGTTGTTCCAGACTCGCTGCTCACTCTGTTCTCAGGGGAGCTGGCTGGAAGTCACTGCAGCTTCTCAGGAGAGGTCAACTCTCTTCAACAAAGTGTCCACTCACCAGCCTGTGTGTCTAATACTCACACAAATGCATTTCCCAACGTGGGATGGGCCTAAAGGCTTCCCTGAGGAGAGAGGGCAAGGATGCAGTGTGGGGTGCAAGTGTGTGTGGTATGTAGAGGACCGAAACTGTTGTTTGTTTTCTTTTGTTTGTACGGTATTAACTCAGTGACCTCCCTATCCCTGCTCCCTCAGGATCCTGCCCACCTTGGCACAGAAGATTTGAATACTTCGGGGCAGGGTTACACATTGACTGTCTCTAGAGCTTTCCTAATCCTGCAGGCTTTTTCCATGCAGTCAGCCTCACTGCCCCGCCCGCCCCGACTGACGACAAGCTTCAGCAGTTGCATTGCACAGGCTTCCGTCAAATTATCACAGAATGACCCTTGCTCACTATCAAGCTCAGGCATAGCCTTGAAGTCTCCGTCACAGGGATATAGAGATATAACCAGAATACTGTTCCTGTTCATTTATTTTAGCTGAAAAAATGGGAATCAGAAGTGAGTGGGGGAAATCAGAGAAGAAAGTGGAGAAGGCAGTCCCCCTTTCCATATATACATTATTGCACAGTTTAAGGTTAATTTATTTATAATTTATTTATGTAGTCATCAATTTAACAGATGCTTATTGTGTGCTTTTCATGTGTCAAGCCCTTTGCTTGGTTCCAATGATTTTCATGATCGGTTTCTGCCTTTCTATATCTAGTGGCACGTTTTTACCAGTACAACTTAAATAATTTAAAAATCTGGAATAGGGCTTAGTTTTATAGCTACCCTCAATCGGCACTCTTAAAATCCAACGTCCATTTAGATTTAGAAAGTATCTGGCTCAGAGTAGCCTCTTTCTACATTCTTCATGATCTCAGGTGAACTTTTTTTTTAATTATTATTTTTTAATATATCTTTATTGAGTTCAGAGAGGAAGGGAGAGGGAGAGAAAGAGAGAGAAACATCAATGATGAGAGAGTCATTGATCGGCTGCCTCCTGCACGCCCCCCACTGGGGATGGAGCCCGCAACCCGGGCCTGCGCCCTGACCGGGAATCGAACCACAATCTCCTGGATCCTAGGTCGATGCTCAAGGCTGAGCAACACCTGGCCAGGCTCAGGTAACTTTAGAAGAGTGAGTGGGTTCCTCTCTAAGTTCTGAGTTTTGTGTCTTCTTTAGAATGTCCAAGTATGCAGGAAGTGAATCTCACATGAGACAAATTTTTGAGACATCATAGGGAAAATATCTTGTATCTTATGAAATTGATCTGCTGCTTTTTTGTGTGTATGTTTTTTGGGGTTCTTTTTTTTGGCTTAGAGAAGAGTCATTAGTTGACTTTTAGATTAGCCTGTTTTCCTTACAACCTCTACCATAGTCAACTCCCGAATCAATACTCCTGGCCAGAGACCAGAGTGGGAAATATCACAAGTCACAACCATGGTGTTGAAGAACTTTATGAGCATTATATTGAGCTATGACTTTAATCTCATTTTGTAATCTGTGTGCGGGGTTTTAAAAATAATTTCTAAATATGAATTACATTGTAATCAATTGTTGATATAAAGTTAGGAATGTGTGTGAAATCCACTTCTTGATGCTAATGTTTATATAGAGGTCATTGTAGTACTAGTGCTTTATAACTGCAGTCATTAAAATTGCTCTTTTGCCCAGGCACACCCTCTTTTACGCTAGGAGGCCTTTCCAAAATTTGACTCTCGGACAACTAAATATTTAAAAAGTAAACAAATCTCAAATCTCAAATTATAAGTAGGCCTGAATACAACTAATGATGAAATCAGAGGCAGTTAATGGGAGTTTCTTCTACTGTTCATTTGTAAGATGCTAGCATAGACATTTAGACTTCCTCACTTAAATCATGTTTGATCAGCTACCCTTGCCCCAGTTTTGATCCTGGAGGGGCCAATCTACCCCTGGAAGACACAGGGGAAACATTAGTTCTTTAATATTGTCAACGTGATAGACTAGATACATCTGGATTAAACACAGTGTAGAATCTACAGCAAATTTTACTATGAGAAAAGTATTACCACAGCATGATAGTTGCCTTTCTTATTACCAAAGTAATTTTAATTATTAAGATGAAGAAATAAAAAATTGGAAACCTTGTAATGCACTGCAAACAGGAATGGCTTTGTATTTTGGAGGATTATTTGTGTTTATCTTTATTTGTGTGTTCTATTGAGACTGTTATTTCCCAATTTTTCCTTCTGAGATGTAAATTGCGACTGATAAGCACCTCTGCTGACAGCAATGAGCAATAAAGGGAGTGGAGATTCAGAATGATTCAGCTGTGATGACCTAAGATAGTTCATGTTTATTCCTGTTTCTTTTCTTTATTGCTTATTGGTCCACC